ATCAGGTAAGGTGTTTCAAGGACGCCTTTGAGATAGTCTAAACTTTCTGTTCTCACTCTATTTGTCTGCGTGGAACACCATGTCACATCTGGCTCTCCAGTCAGATTAAAAAACACATTCAAAATATTTTTCCAAATCCTAACAGACCCATGCAGTCTTGTGGTCTTGGAGTGGCTAATTTGTCTTTTTGTGGTTTGTGTAGGTGGTCAGACGGTGGGCACCACTGACTCGTCCAACAGCAACAGAGAGAGCGTGAAGTCTGAGGACGGGGAGGAGGATGAGCTGCCTTACCGCGGACCCTTCTGTGGACGCGCTCTAGTTCATACTGACTTCACCCCCAGTCCTTACGACACTGACTCCCTCAAACTGAAGGTATGCCCACGTTAACGATCCAGTGAATCACACAATACGTAGAGATGAGCTGATACCTCTAACAAACTTAAGCTCCTTTTGTCTCTTCTTGCAGAGTGGAGACGTCATCGATATAATTAGTAAGCCTCCGATGGGTACGTGGATGGGGATGCTCAACGGTAAAGTCGGCACCTTCAAGTTCATTTATGTGGATGTCCTGAATGAAGAGGAGGTGAAACCCAAAAAGACACGCAGGAGGAGGAAGGCCCGGCAACCCAAACCCACCTCTGTAGAGGAGCTCCTTGATCGCATCAACCTCAAAGTACTAAACATACTACATTATAAAAATCTATGGCTCAAACAAAGGCATAACTTTGACTTTGGTAACCAAAACCAGTACTGGGATTTTCATTGTTTAAAAGACGTATTATTTGTAAGATTTTTAGATAAAAAGAATACCAGTGAGTGAAGTGTTAAAATTTGTTTTGCTATATTTAAAGAACTAGGTTTTAATTTGTTGAAAATACGCTTCTTCAATTTCTTGCCAAGAGTTAAAAGAGAAGATCAATACCACTCTCATGTCTGTATTTTATATACAAAGCTATAATCTGGAGATGTTTAGCTACCTTAGTTTAGCATAAAGATTGGAAACGGGGAGAGACGTCTCGCCATTCTTTGTCCAAAGGTTAAAAAAAATCCACTGACAATCACTTCTAAAGCTCAGTAATGAACACGTTAAATCTCGTGTACAAAAACCAAAAATAAATTGTGGTTTTATGGGGGATTATGGATTTATTAGATTATGTTATTATATAGATTATGGAATTATAGATTTCTCATCCAGGTGCTAAGATAATCATTTACTGACTCTAGCCTCATATTACTGTGCAGGTGTTTGAGCAGTATTGAGCTCTCTGCACAAAAGTGTTGTTGAATGTTGAATTATTCCTTTAAAAATAAAGATTTTAGAACATTTGTAATTTGAAAAAATGGATAAAAATAACAGTTACAACAGGGTTTGGAAACCTCTAACATGCTTATTTCATATTTTAAGTCAAGGTACTTTTGAGCAGTTCTGAACTTATTCAAATTGTGCATGCTCTAATGAACTCCTTCTATAGATTTTTATTGATCTGATGTCTATTCTAACCACTCCACAGGAGCATCTTCCCACCTTCCTTTTTAACGGCTATGAGGATCTGGACACATTCAAGTTGCTAGAGGAAGAGGACCTCGACGAGCTGAACATCACAGACGCCCAGCACAGAGCCGTGCTGCTCACCGCTGTGGAGCTACTGCTAGAGTATGATGGTGGGTTAGGTAATCAGTGCAATATCTTAACTGTGTGTGGAAAAACACGTAAATACATGCAGAGACACATTTGCCAAATTTCATAATATTTACACAAGGTTAAAATATATTGAATATCTACTACACTGTCTTATTGAATAAAGGTTAAAATTGTTTTTGAATGATTTTTACTTTAAGTTATTTCCAGTCCATAATTTTAAAGATCTGGTAATACGTCAACCCCTGCTGGCTTTAAAAGCAACCCCTACACACAGAACATCCATAGTTCCCCCTGCAGTCTTTATTGAGAACATAAGATGTGACTGTCTGCCCCCTGTTGGTGGCGTTGTGCCTTGCAGGAAGCAGCGACCCAGAGCGAGGCAGTGGGTCCGGAGGCTCGCAGGAGAAGCTGCTCCTGGACAGGCGTGGCCTCGCGGGAGACTCCCCGCGGGACTCCGGCTGCTACGAGAGTAACGAGAACCTGGAGAACGGTAATGACAGCCTGAGTCGCCTGTGAACACTGTCCTCCTCTTCTGCCCTCTTCTGCCTCATCCTTCACTAGAAAGACTCGTCTGGTCTTCAGTCCTTCTTGATGCTCGAGCATTCCAAGCCACCAAATTCAGTTTTCATGCTCTTCTGGAAAGACTCTGCTATCGTCACATTTATTCTGGTGCTCTGTTTTTTTTTTTTTTTTCCAAGCATCTTCTTCTTCTTCTTCTTCAAGTCATATTTTCATCTGTTTCTGCATCAATCAAACTGTTTTGCAGTCCCGTCTTTGTCTAGTCAGTGCTTTTGAGAATTGACATTACTTGCCCTTCTTTACAAGCATCATTTTCTAAATGGTATAACACAAAGTTATCTGTTATTATGGGACTAGAAAGTTCACTTAAATCATGTTAAACTGAGCAGTGACCTCTAAAGACATTTTTCACATGTGGAGCCGCTTGTAGGTCTACTCACAAATAGATCTGCAGTTGTGAGTTGTGTGGTGGTTTTTGCGTTTGCTGAAATGGTGACTGTTGAACCGACGTGTGATTAGATTTAAATAGTTTTTAAAAAAACTTTCTCAGTATTTGCAGTACATATTTACTGTGAACGCTTGCTTTATTAATAGCTATATCATTCTTATTCTGGTTATTTGGTTCGGCTTAAGTCTTAAAAAAAAAAAGTCTAAACATTGTCAAAATGCAAAGAGTTGTGTTTACTGTAAATGAGGGTTCTTGTGAATGTCAAAAGGTCAAGGGGTTAGGGAACTTTGTCAGATCAGCCACGCTTGTACAGTGTATTTCTCTCAAGATTTTGCTGTTTGTGTGTATATTTTTTTAGTCCAGTAAAATATAACGTTGCACAATATTTTATCATGTGCCTGAAAACTGCATAATGCAGATTAATTAAAATATTTACTAAATACTATAATTATACTTGTTAAAATATGGCATTTTGTATAACTGTAAATGCACTAAAATGCAGACTTAGGACAACCTTTAAAATGGTTCAACACATTTAAACTTCTGACAGAAGTGTGGCAGGTTGAAGGTCTGACGTCTCAGCATTTTCTGAAGTGTGCTTCTGTCATGGTTGAGCGTGAGGAATAAATTGCTCCATGCTTTACCAAGACTTGACTGCTTGCTTCCCTTCTTTCATTCATCATTTATTTTTTAGCGCACATTTAGATTTTGTTTTCAACTTGTCTTTTTCTCGGCCATCCTTTCACAATAGCCACTATTTTCCAACACTGAGTGCTCTGCTGTTGTTCTGTTTAAGTCAAATACATGTCCCAGCTGACCGACACCTGCATGATCTGCACACACTTCACTTGTTTATTTCAGGAAGGGATAAAAAGACATCTTCATGCTTGAGCAGGTCCTCCTCTGGTTTTGAGTCAAGCTACCTGCCGTCCCCAGAGTACCCTGCCCTTCCACAGACCCTGACCTCCACCAGCTCCAGTAAGACTTCGCTCCAAAGTAAACCAGCAAACCTGCACTGTGTGTTACCGTTACTGAGAAGCCCCAAGAACAGCTTAACTCTCCCAAGCCCAGCAAAAGGTCACGTTCCCAGTGGAGCCATTGCTAGGAGCCAGAGCTGCATGGAGCTGAGAAGAGATCCAGCACTAGGGCTGCTGAGGCGGAGCTGCTCCCTGACTGTCCTCCACAAAGACCAGAAGAGACAACTCATTGATCCTAAAAACTGGAATCTGACCCCCAGCGTCAAGACTGAGAGCACGCAGCATGCAGTAAATCCTCAAAAACATTGTGAGGTTGTGTCTCCGTCCTCTCAGCCTCCAACCGCATCATACAAGGCTGTCTGCAGCACTTTAAACACAGACACAGTAAATGTGTTTGCCCCTAAACAAACAGCAACAACACAAAGTACACACCTTCAGCCGCCACCCACAGTTCCAGCAAGAATGTCCAATCATCCTTTAGTTACACCTTCCTCACCAAGCCCACGCCAAGAGGTCTTACCAACAGAGACTGCCTGTTTGTTCAACAACATAGATCACATGTTGTCAGTGGATAAAATAAGTCGTTCAGTTTCAGCCAATTCCGAAGCCCGTCGGCTGAAAATGCAAAAAAATAAAAAGAAATCAGTAAGCTCAGCAAATCTTGGTTCCCTGATAGAAGAAAGAATGTAACTGCAGTAATTTCTGACAAGGTATTATCCTCAAAAGTACGGTGAACTGTCGCTTTACAGATGTTAATTTAAAGGATTTCTGAAAACATAAGCATGGATTTGTAGTGGACATCTGAGGACATCTGAAGTTTAGACAGTGTTCAGTTATGTCTATTCAGCTAACGTACCTATTTACACCCTGCTAAGTCTGTTTATAGTATGGTCGAAAGGAAATACCCCAGTCTCTGTTTCAGTTGTTCTCCATTCAGCTGAATCCTGTCTGACCAACAGTTACACAAGCAGGATTGCTTATCCCACATCAAACAAAGGCTTCATTAATAGATTTAACTGTTTTTATGTGTATATATGTATGTATATGTCTTCATTACGGTATTTTTTGACAACAGGCCTTTTTCACTAAAGACATTTTGATATGTTACAGTAGGAAAGCACATGTGTAATGATGGCTGAATAACATTTAGCTGCTTCAGTTTAAGAGTGACATGCCTTAAGTTTTAAAACCAGCCACCGGAGATTTGACAAGCCTAGTTGGACGCAACGCCATCGGCCTGCTTCAGTCGAGCTGAGACAACCAGTTCACACCTTTGACAACTCGAAAAAAGATTTTTTATATCAGCATAATCTAACTGCAAGTAGTGATAGCAATTATCAATTTTATGTAAAGTGTTGAATAAGTTTAGCATTTTAGAAGTTGAAAAATAATATTCCAACCCAGCAAGCATTTCTCTGTGTAAACATACATTGTTTATTTCACATCAGTTTCATATCAGTAAATTATGTACAGTATTTTCCTGTTCATTAATTTAATTAATAAAGGTTTCTTTTTTATATACATTACAAAAGCTAACAAGGCTGTTAATCACTGTTTTAGCCTCACATCAATAAATCTTGGTATGTTAGCATGAAGTTCATCTCTGACAGCAGATCTCTGTACTCAAAGGCAACTATTATTGGCACCAAAAGCAGTAGGAAAAGCAGTATTTATTCAATATGTCAAATAGTTGTTCACCAGTAAATTAAATTACAATTATTAAATTGTTTTGATTTGTTATCGATCAGAGATGAAATCTATCTGCCAGTGTGTCTTATGATTTATAGGCGAGTGTTATCGACCAGGATTCAGTGGCAGACTAATGTTCACACTGCAAGCTTTAGTGCTCAATTCTGATTTTGTTTTGTTTTGTTTGGCTGTTCACATTATTTTTTGAATGCAGCCCATATCCGATTCCAGTGTGTACAGGTCACGGTCCTGAAATGTACCAGCATGACAAACAGAACGACAAGTTTCATAAATCCTGATATGACTGTTCTCACTGAGGTCACAATCACACCTGTATCTGATTTGGACCAAATATGAAAAGGTGTCCCGTATCTGAATTGAAAGGATCAGATTCCATGTGATTTGTACTGTTCATACTGTCATTAAAAAATCAGGACTATGTCACACACAAAACTTTGGCTTGCAGTGTGAACTTTATAGTTTAGACTGGAGCTGCTTTTCATGAAGGCACTGCCTGACCATCCCCAGTGCGTCCAGGGCGGTACCCCAGGCGAGGGTGACTCCCCAGCCTCCGTGGCCATAGTTGTGGACCACAGGCACCCTGCGACCCTGCAGCTGCACTAGCTCCCTCTCCACCCTCGGGTTCCTCCTGCTGGGCCGCAGACCGACCCACTCGCTGAGAACTTTGGCTTTGGTGAGCGACGGCTCCAGCCTGCTGCAGCGCACCAGGATGCTCTGCGTGTCTTCTTCGTCCACCTGCAGACGCCAGTCCTCCTCCTGCCTCGTGCCGCCTACGGTGACGCTGTGTATGCCGGGGTAGATGTAGGTCTTTCCGTCTCCATCTCTGATGAAGTGCTGCAGCCAGGGGGCGTCCACCTTGAGGACCTGGCCTCTGACCGGGTACACCATGTTGTCACCCACCAGCATTTTGGAGCCCAGACCAGAGCAGTTGACAATGATATCGTAGCTGTGGCTCAGTTCCTGAAGATTATTGATCTTCCTCTGTTCTACTTTTCCTCCAGCTTTTCTGAACCTGAATAACAACATTAAGTCTGGTCAAACTCTTGTTTTCACATCTTCCTCAGTGGAACCAAAGCATAAATTAAACTGTAACTACCATTAAATGTTTTAAGTTTGTTGGAAAAATGTGCAGAAAAATAATAATGACCTAACACCTTTGACACGTCAATGAGAGCTTATTATAGAGGACAAACCTCTTCTCGAGCCACGGCAGGTAGCTGGAACATTCACATTTTATGGTGGTGAACGCGTGGCCAAACTTGTGATCCGGAAACCTTTTCAATTCAGCCTCAGTCATGTATCGAAAGCCAATCACAGACTCGGACCAGAAGGGCTTCTTATCGGCTGGAACCTCTTTGAAAATTTGCCAGCTGGAAAAACATCAAAACGATGATCACTGGATGCAAAGAGATCTGTTTTAATAGTGACCGGCTGAGTATTTGCCCCTTTTTATAGCCACGACTGCTCTGAGTGAAGTGGAGGATATTTGTCAATGGTTTATGGTCCCTAGAGGCGCAAAGGGTTTAATTGAGTATATAACAATTCCTACCCAGAGCTCAGCATTACTCCAGCTTCCGGTGAGTGTTGGGATTGAGCAATGGCCAACAGGTGATCAAAGCTGTCCTTGAACCAGCGTTTTTGTCTTTCCAAGGGAATATCTGATAGAGAAATGCGGTAAAATAAAACATTTTTCCACATGCATGTACATATAAAGGGTGGGGATAGATGATGAATTTATATTCATTAGAAATAATGTTCACCCTGGTAAAACTGTATTGACTGCACAACAATTTAAAATATCAGTCAGTCAGTGTAATTCATTTTCTGAGCGAGAGGTTGTTGCATACCTGGAAACTTTGCAGCAAACAGGATCCCAGCAGCTCCATCACTGGTGGTTTCTGGACTGAACTTGTCAGCCAGCAGAGTGATGGAGCAGAGAGGAAGAGTCTCAGCGATGCAGACGGCAGTAGAGAGGCCGATCACGCCCGCTCCAACCACTACAACCCTGACACTTTTCATCCTGCCCGGGCCCTGCCTCTCAACCTGCAGGTGAACTGGAAGAGAGAATTGTGTCAAATGCTGCTGGATTGCCGCAAGGCGACTTTTATTATGACCGGCTCTAAAGAAAAGTTAATCCACAACTACTAACCTATTTGCAGCACTGATAGCCTTTTTTGCCCAGTTAACAATGTCTGTTATGTAATGCATTATTACAATGAAGTAGGCTTTGTGCCACTGATCCTTGGACTGTGGGGTCAGGTTAGATGTTAAGGTCCAGTGTTTGTTTGTCTTTGTTGTAAAATTGTGTAAAATGTTGATTCTATTTAACAATAGAATAAAGCACTGAGGACCGCATTGACTTTTTTTGACCATTTGTACTATTTTCTCCTCCTCAGTGTTACAGTCTTTTAGAAGTGTGTAAGCCACGAGGCCAGTGGTGAAAGAAGTACTTATACGATATGTAACTAGAAGTATTCATACAACAGTGGGAAAACATTTAATTACTAGCAAAAGTCATGCATTTAAAGTTTAAATATGCAAAAGTAATATCGGCTAAATTTACCCAAAGTATCAAAAGCAAAAGTATTCAGCAGCATGGCCTGTGTGTTTTTATATATTATTAAATCCTTCATACTGATGCATAAATATATAAATAAATAATAAATGTTGTAGCTGCTAGTGGGGCTAATTTTAACTACTTCATAAACTGTTGGGCAGTTTAATCTGTACCAATGAATTATATTTTATAAAGTGAACACGAAAAATACCATATTTGCCTCTATAGCTTTGCTACAATTAAAGCAGCATAAAAATAGAAATACTCAATATATATAATGTATATATGCATTATATATAAATGTCTTCACCTGCCTGTATCTCTTGCTCAGAGGCCTGTCGGTAAACGTCTACTCATAAACACACGGTTTAATCTCCCCCATACTCGCTTCTTCTGCCATAGAGGACGTGCAGGTCCTAAAGAAAGTCTCCTTAAAAAGGACAACGATTATTTAAATAAACAAAATTCCAATAGAAGAAAAAAATGTCTGCATGTTTGCACTGATAATTTCTTTAAACTAACGTGTTTCTGAACATTATAAACAAAAATCGGTCGCTAAAAGCCGGTTTCGGGCAGTGAACTAACACTAGATCTATAAAACATGCGGCTGTGTGACACAGCTGGAGCTCGCGTCATCCACAGTACGTGTAGCTCAGCTGTGCGAGGATCTCGTCAGAACCGTCAACTCTCGCGATAAGTCGTTCCCATTCTCGCCCTCCCGTCCAGCGATAGTAGAAGGTAAGGTCCTAAAAGCTCACTACGTTAAATTACACCGGTGGTTTGAGCTGCAAACATAAACACTACTCACATGTAGTTAGTTTAACACAGGGTTTCAGTCGCACACTGGTTTCTGCTGGTTGTGGCCTGTTTTCTAGCCAGCGGCTGATGCATTGTTTGAGACGATGTGAGTTAGCTCGTTTGCTAAGCTTCAGGTTGCAGGAGGTTCCTCTGTTGTTGTGAGATTAATAGTTAAGTTAGGTGAACTTTGTATGAATGTGGTCGACACTGACTGTAGGAAAACTAAGGAGATTAATGCGTTAAATTGTGTAAATAAAATCTGTGTACGGTTGGAAGCGCTAGTACTCAAAGTGTTAATTGATTATCAAAATGATCTGGCTGATCAATCGATTAACCGATTGCCCTGTTATTTAATAGGAGAAAACACTCCAGTAAACAGTTTTACAAAGTGTGAGGATTCCTTTTTTTATTTTCTTACATTATATGTTTGGGTTTTTGGATCATTATAAGACATCACAGTATTTTCATTATCAATTAATCTGTCTTTTTGATTAATTAAGTGATTATTTAGTGTATAAACTGTGAGAAGATAGTGAAAAAAGTGTCACAAAATAAATCACAATTTAACAAATTGCTTGTTTTGTGCAACCAACAGTATAAAACCCACAAATATTCACTTTACAGTCATACAAAACACAGAAAGGGTTAGAGATTTGTGGTCATATTGATTTAAAACGATAAACAGATTATAACAATTGTTTATATGATTAGTGTTCTGTTGACTGACTAAACAGATTAATTGACCAATCACTGCAGCACATCTACAGATTGAGGTACTGAAAATAGTCATTAGTTCCAGCCCTAAAACAAGATGATCTTTGTATTTCCCAGCTTTTCTTTTGAAAGACACTGCATTGATTAGGTATTAAAGTTTGTAAATTGAAATACACACTTAAAATACATCCTACATTGTGTTTCTTTATCTCAGTCTTATGCACTGTTCTGTCTGTTTTGATATAAAGTTGCTTTTCACTGCCTGCAGGAACAGAAGTGGTTGCTTTGAGATGTCTCAGAAGGCAACGACCAGGACTTCATCGCTCATGGCCCTTCATTCAGATTCACATAAGCAGAGCATCCTGAGCAAATTCGACAAGCTCAGGAAAAGGCACTTACTGTGCGACATCACTCTTGTCGTGGAAGACGTGCACTTCAAGGCGCACAAAGCCCTGCTGGCAGCAAGCAGCGAGTACTTCTCCCTCATGTTCACGGCAGAGGATCAGCCTCAACCCACCTACCGGCTGGATGGTATGGCGGCGAAGATGTTTGCCGCAGTGCTGGAGTTCATCTACAGCGCTCGGGTGTCTGTGGAGGAGAACGCCACAGAGCAGCTTCTGGCCACGGCTCGACTCATGGAGGTCAGTGACCTTGTCAAGGTGCTCACTGAGCTCACACGCTCTGCTGCAGCGGTTAAAGAGGCAGAGGCAGAATTAGCAGAGGCGCCGGATCTGTCCAAACGCAAAAGAGGACGGCCAAAGAAAGACCTGGATGTCCCTGTAACCCAGCCGGAGGAGAGTAGTGCCCCGTGTGAGAGCTCAGACGAGGGGCAGGATAGAGATATGAACTGTGGTGATGCAGCACGTGAGTCACGACCTAAAGATGATGCGGATTACAACCCGGGAGCCCACCGACAGAGCAAACGCAGAATCAGGCCACCGGTAAAATACAAGAGCTTCACGGTGGTCAGCGACACGGCGGGGAGCAAAGAGCCTGGGAAGAGAGGCAGGAAGAGGAAATACCCCAACACTGAGGCCCGATGTGAGGACTGTGGCAAAGTATTCAAAAACCACCTCTTTTTAAAGATTCACCAAAGAACTCATACAGGTAATCTTCAACGGCTTATTCCCCCCAGAATGAAACCAGAATGATCCTTTAACATAGAAGGCCGAGGTGCTGATGAGAAAGCTCTCCGTGAACAGTAAATGTCTGCAACTTGTGTTTTATAGATTGTTGGAAAATGGCGTGCTCAATTAGGACTGATTAGGGTTTAATTAACACTCACACAGCGTCCATCACAGATGTTTGATTCTGTTAGGAAAAGGGGNNGGGGGGGGGGGGGGGAATGTCTGAACATCTGTCTCTCAACAAATGAACCTCGCTGTTGCTACTCTGCAGGTGATATCGTACCTGTTCACTTCACTGTCATCATTTTCCCCCAGGAGAGAAGCCTTTTCAGTGCCTGGTTTGTGGAAAGGGTTTTACCCAGAAGCACGCGCTGCTGTCTCACCAGCGCATGCACACAGGAGAAAAGCCGTTTGTTTGTACCATCTGCTCCAAAGCGCTCTCCACCAAACACACCCTGCAAGAGCACATGAACCTCCATGAAGGTGGGTTCATCCTGTTAGCTCTTCATTCACTATTCTTGGGCTTAAACTGTGTGCATTTTATTTATTTTCCTATCTTTAATGCATCCATCATAAATGGAAAAGGTGTATTTTTTTTATTGTAGTTGGGGGTGTATTTGGTCGTCTTTTGAGAAAACTGCATTCTGGTGACTCTATCAAATAGTTACTCTGCTATAATTTATGCCTCTTTACCTGCATCCTTAGGAGAGAAACCCTTTAGCTGTGACAAATGTGTAAAGACCTTCACTCAGAAGAGGCAACTTAAAAGCCATTACAGAGTTCATACAGGTAAGAGTCACATCACTCAGACAACAGGAGCTTAATTTGAATGCAGTCACTCCAAAAGGCTGAATAATGTGTTCTTTATTCTTTTTTAATTAAAGGCAAATTGTTACCAGAATGCGCTCAGTGTCATCACAAGTTTTTGGACACGGCTCAGCTGAAAAAGCACCTGAGAACTCACACAGGTAAATTCAGACAAGGCTTAAACAGCTCTGTAAATAATTTCTGAGCTATAAAAGGTCCAGTGTGTAACATATTCATAGGTATGTTTTCGTTAGTGTATAATCTGAATACAGGAATTGTGTTTTTGTTATCTTAGAATGAGCCTTCTATGTCTACGTGTTTACTTCATGTTTCTACAGTAGCCCAGAAGAGACAAACACTGGCTCTAGATAGGGGAGCTTCACGGTCACTGTAGTTTCTCCAAGGAGCTTGGAAGGGGAGGGAATTTCCATCTGCAACTACACTGCTAAATGCCACTAAATCCTCCACGCTGGACCTTTTTTAAAACTATTATTACTGTGTAACTTATGAAACACTTGCTGCTGTCGGCTGATGACATTAATAATATCCCTACAGGTGAGAAGCCTTTTACCTGTGAGATTTGTGGAAAGTGTTTCACAGCCAAGAGCACACTGCAGACTCATATCAGAATCCACAAGTGAGAAATATATATATGTATATTTTGATCCATTGTTAGTATAAAAACAGTGATAACAGTTGTTTTACAATCCAAAACAAACATCAAAATGTCCTTTTGCAGAGGTGAGAAGCCATATGAGTGCAACTTGTGCAACAAATCATTCTCCGACCCCAGTGCGAGAAGACGACACGTCACCTCTCACTCGGGGAAGAAACCCTTCACCTGCTCCTTCTGCAGCCTGTCGTTCACCCGCATGGACAATCTGAGAACACACACCAAATCCCACAACAAGGAAAGAGCTGCAGCAACAGAAGCCTCGTCCGACGCGGCGGTCTCGAACGCCGCGGCACCACCGGAGGAGGTGCGTAACATCCTCCACCTGCAGGACTACCAGCTGCCTTCCAGCTCTGAACAGGAGATCCAGCTGGTGGTGACGGGAGATGTTAACTTTGTGCCGGCTCAGGACCAGGAGATCAGCATCATCACCACAGAGGGAGAGACGACAGAATCGGCCCACTCCAGACTCACCCTCCTCACCCAGTCGTCAGGAAACGTGCAGAACGTGGCTCTGGTCACGCAGGGCGCCGTGGTGGACCCGAGCCGTCAGATTCAGACTGTCAGTACGCTGGAGAGCCAGATGACGCAGCAGCCCGAGCAGATGCATGTTATCACTCTGAGTAAAGAGGCAATGGAGCATCTACAGGCCCACCACGGTCCCCCGCAGCCCCTTCAGATAGCACAGCGACCCGTCCAGCAGCTGCAGGTGATGGCCCAGCCCATCCAGCAGCTGGCTGTGGCTCAGGAGAGCTCGCAGGGGCAGGTGAGCAGGGAGCCACACAGCCAGGCCATCCACATCAGCAGCCAGAGCAGCCAGCCCATCTCCATCAGCCAGACCAGCGAGCAGATCTCCAGCCACCACATCCAGGGACAGACGTTTCAGATCCAGGCAGGGACCGTCTCCTACCTGTACACCACCGGGCTGCCGCAGGAGAGCTGAGTGTTTCCCGGATCCAAACTCAAACTGCTGCTACAGTGCACATTAATAATGGATGAATAAAACTATTATATATTATTATACATGTCCTATCATAATGGAGTACGAATATTTTAACTTACTTATTTAGTTTTACTGCAAATTTTTATTTTCTTACATTAATAGTCTAAGTGGGGCCTTCTTTTTTTAACTAGTTAAAGGTGTTGTTTTCTTCTGGAAAACTAAGATTTGAGTCTCTTACTAAATAGCAATACATTTCACAAACATGTTCTTGCAACTACTGCAAGATAAATAATATGCAGCAGCAGCAATAAGAAGCCAATAATTATAGATATTGGTTACAGAGTTACAAAAACATGATAACGATATTATATTGCCTAATATTCATGTTTTACATACCAGTAAACACATTCACAAATATTTTTGATGAGGATCCTTTAAATTTGTTTTTGTTTTAAGAACCGTTACCGAGATATGAACTAAGTGGACCATTTTACAGTTAAAAAACTTTAATGTACTAACACCAATATATCTGCAATAAGCTCATATGAGACTAGTTCTAATTTGCAAAAAGCTGGTTACAGTTTGCTGTTTGACAGCAAAACTTCATGTCTTGAATGATGGAGCTTCTTTAAGTGAAATAATCTGAATCTGAAGACCTATAATGGGCTTTGGGAAGGGGTCAGCAGTAAATATTCCTTGATCAAAATCATGGACTGACACAATGTGGTGTTTTATTAAAACTGAATACAACATTTTATTGTCAATTGATAGAAAGTATTATAGCATGTATGCATTTTACATGAAGAAAAAGTGTCTAGGGGGCTGAAATATGGAAGCAGTGTAAAGGTACTGCACTTTTGGAAGGGAAGACATGCACAGTACATGATGATCTAAAATAAACTGGATAATAAAATGCCATGATGAATGAAAATGAGCCAAACCCTCACTTAGGTTTATGTTTTAGCTCTGAAAATAACAGATACGATTTGGTCCACACACAGCTGCAGACAGAACCAGAGAGCACCCTGAATGTCAAACAGCAGCTAACTTTTAACAAGTGGGTGTTGCTTAACAAAATACCATCGGGTAAATCTCACAGGTCTGGTAGAGTCGTCTCAGCAGTCAGGACACGCAGCCGAGTCGGATCCTGAAAGAACAACAAAGGCTGATTCGAATGTTGATTGTGTATTCATCCAAGGACAGTGTAACATCACTCTTGATCATATTACTATTGATGAGAAATGAACATTAGTTTACATTTATCTTATAAAACAGGTTGTGATTCATTCTTGATGTTGGAAACACCAGTTGACAAAAACACTTCACATAAAGAAAAGGTTTTGGGATATGTTCTTTTTTTCACTTTCTGGTGGAGGGTTAGGTGAGAATATTGATACCACTCATGCCTGTACAGTGAATATGAACCTTACAGCCCGCAGCAGGTTAGCTTAGTTTAGCCTTAAGACTGGAAATAGGGAGGCAAACATCCAGCCTGGCTCTGTCCAAAGGTAACACAATCCAAATACCAGCACCAAAAAGTTCATAATTAACACATTATGTCTCCTACAAAAACACAAGCCGGTTATGTGCCCGACTACTTCTTGGCTCTGTGCAGTTGCCTGGCAACCAGTAAAGTCTCCATGAAGCTACAGTGCACGGCAAAGAAATAGCCTGGCGCACAACCCAACATAAAACAGTGAATTGTAGTTTTTACGCTTCAGTTTTCAGTGAGATTTCAAGGTTCTGGTAGTGTCAAAACTGAAAAAAAACAATGAATTTCAATATTTAAACTGAAATTAATAATTCTGTGTCAACTAGACAAAACATATCCTGATATATGATTTAAACTCCAAAACAGTGGATCTTGTTGTGAGATTTTTTTTGTCAACTGTTTACAAAAATGAACTTTTCCCCATACTTTATCATCTTACAGCACTTTCAGGAGTTTAAGCTTTAGTTGAACATGTTGAAACGCACTCCACTGTGCTTCTCGGGCTCACTCACTGCTTTCGGTCGGTCTATTCTTGTATCAGAGCGGCTCCTGGCTGTTTCTGCTCTCTGGTGTCTTGGCTCTGTCGCGCTGTCCTGAAGTGTGCCGTAGTTTGTGAGGCTGCCAAGCTGTAGGGTGGACTGCTGCTGACTGGCCCTGCGTGGACCTGAGACAGAAATAGAACAAAGACTGAGCTTTAAACCTCCCAAAATACGATTTATAATGGAATTTAAAATGTCATCAGAAAACGCTATGAGTATCTGGATAACATGATGGCTTTAATTTTACTCCTGAACCGCATGAGCAGGTAGAAATCAAAGTATAACTCGCAAGATATGATTTTTTTTGTGTGTGTTGCAGATTATCACTGCTCTGAGATGAAGGTAAGGTGGGTACGGTACCTGCTGAGGGACTTCTAGCACTCAATCTGCTCACTGACAGCGTGTAATAAGCCCTGCTTTGGCCTGTGATGGAATTGGGAGTGAAATGTCATGTGAAATTATTTGAAACAAATGGAAAAAACTCTGATGAAACACAGTTAACCTGAAGGAATTGGCCGGTATCCATCGTACTGTTTATCTCTGTTGGTGTGTACCTGTCGTAGTGGTGCATCGGGACAAAGCTGCTTCCATGTCGTTCACCTGGTTCTGCAGTTTGTCCACCTGCTGAAAGGCTTCTTGTTTGAGGCTGAGCTCTTGCTGTAGCCGTCCCCTCACCTACACCCAGGAAATATGAAGAATCTCTCATTATTTTACCTTAAAGTTGAGGTTTTCTTGTGGTTTTATGGTTTGTAATGTCAGTCACGGGTTGCCTTGAAAGTTCGTACATTTCCAGAGGAGGAATCTTACTGACTTCCTCCAGCGCCACCATGAGGCTGACGTTTGTAAAGTGTAATATTGCCTTGAAATTTGGCGCACACATTCATGTTTTCCTCAGGATGAATAGTCCTTTTTCACAGCAGCTATTTTGATGTGAAATAGTCGGGTAAACACAGACATTACCAATGATAGTAATTCATGTTTTGTTACATTTAGTGTAGCAGAGACTTTCCAACGAGCCAACATGCACAATAGCAGCAACCAATGAACAGAACTTAAATAGTATTATTGCTAACACCAGTGTTTACCCTACTATTTCATCTCAAAATGGCTGCTGTGAAAAAGGTCAAACGCTAAACTAAGATGGTGAACATGGTAAACATACCTGCTAAATATTAGCATTTAGATATAGAAATAACATTTAGCTAAGAGCACCACTGTGTCTAAGTGCAGCCTCACGTGGCTGCAGATGCTAAACCTTGAAATGAGAACTTATGTTTGAGCATTAAAAGCTCCAAAGTATTTTTTTGTTGTTTATGTAATTCAGTGTGAGAGAAACTTTGAAATGGTTCCCAAATGTTGCTTTTCTAAAAATATGTAATAAAAAAATCAACTTAAAATGATTATGATCTTTACTTCAGGCACTAAAACACGAAAGTAATCCAGCATTTTCTTCATGTGACTTTAAAAAATACATAGACCTAAACAAGAACACAGGTAATTGTGTATCATTGCCATCCAGTGAAATTCTAGTGTTGGGAATTGTGATGATTTTAAAACTTTTCTGATGGGTTGAGACAAGATTTTTCCTTCTTAAGCCAAAAAACAATAAAAACCCATTTGGATTATCTGAAAAATGTATTGTCACAAACCTGAAAAGGGGCATTTTTTGTTATATAATAAAGAGTTAGAATTACAGAGATACAACACATGGTTTTCACAGGACAACTTTTATATTAGTCTGACAGCAGAAGTAAGTATCTGCACAGTGCGCACACACACACACACACACACACATATTAGTCTAATGAAGATCATTTACAGACCTGTCGGATCTCTTTGGCGCTGCGCTGTCGGTGTAGCTGGTTCATCCTGCTACCTCTGTCCAGCTGCTCGCTGAGCGCCCTGAGCTGCCTCTCTCTGTCCTCCATGTCGGCTCTCATTTGTTCCAGGCTCTGCACTCGATAGCTGTCCAGCTCCTGCCTGCTGCGGGCCTCCTGTGCAGACTGATGCCTGGACACCTGGAGCTCCTCTGTCTGTGTATCAGCGGGTATTTAATGAATTCATCCAGGATGCACTTGGCAGCTCTGTAGTTTCTACGCCCCCAGGGTTTGACATTTAAAACTTCATTATAGAGTTTTACATGAATGTAAGTCTATAGGAGCAGAATGTGATACTTAGTTAAGATAGTAACTAGTATAGTTAAGAGTTAGGAAGGATGTGGAAGCCTAAATAAAGTCCTCAGCCACTAGAAATCAAATAATGTGCTACTGTAGTTACTAGCTACAATCATAAATACAATACAGGCTGTGATATGTGATCATAGAAATACTTCAAACACAGCAAATCTACAACATTTTCTACTTTAACTTTGACCTGACTAGAGCTGTTATAATCAGTCACTTGACAGAAAAGTAATCGAATCTAATCTTTAAGATAAAGGTTCTAGGTGCACGTTAAAGATAGCCTTCCTGATAACTGTTGCACCAAAAAGTGTCCCCAAAGCCACAGATTTCCTTTGAGTTAATGCTTTAAACATCCTAACTAGTCAAATCACAGAAAGAAAAGGATTTCACCTTTAAAGTTAGAATAATTTGAAGACACATACTTATAAGCTTATGGAATTATGAATAAGTATATACTAATCTCATTAAGTTAAGATGTAAGATTATTATAGTTATTAAAGTTCATGTCATACTATATATGTAAACCATCTGTGAATTAATACATTTATATAAGATTTATACTCATTATGCAAGCAAGATTAGATGAATGACTGTCAGGTGAAATAGAGTTTAATATAAATGTTTAAGTTTTTCTCTACAGTCGCTGTTGATGTTTGGGTAGTCGAAGTGTGGATGAGACTCGATGTACCTTCCTGCTGAGCAGCTTCTTGGTGCTGCTGCACTCGGCCTGACAGCGGGTCAACACCTTCCTCACGGCCTCCAGCTCCTCCTGCAGGAAAACCACCTCCTCCTCAGACGTCATCTTCACCCTGAGAGCGTCGGTGCGACAGGTAATCTCCCTCTGGACAACATGAATAATGTGATACTGTGATTCTACGTTTGCTTTCCCAAACAGGGTTTCAACAGAGTTTCATGATAAACATATGGCAGTAAAATAAATACAAAAAACGTCACATAAACATAAAGGAGTTTGGAGTTTGGACATACAGGACTGACAAATATCGCAATTTAAAAAGTGTAAAAAAAGAAAGAAAAGAAGATAATTTATATATTGTCCTTCACCTCAAATCTGTTAAATAAATTAATAAAAAAGTAAGGTTTTATGCACACTTTTCTTATCAACATACAAGAAACAAGGGGGGGAATTTTAATGAAAAGATCTGGTAAAAAGGAAAAGAGAGAGCAAAGTTAATTTACTTTCTTAACTGATTTCAAAAATAAAGGGAAAATATAAAGCTTGATTTAACCAATTAAGTTTATTTAAATGTATTCAATGATGCTTTTGACATATCATATATTAAACTAAATAAAACAGGTCAAGACCATACACTGTATAATTAAATATAAACATAGTCTCTGTGACGTCACCCCTATGTTTCCAAAGAACTGTTGTGAAACTCAGTGTGTTTACTACCTACCAGCTAATCCAAAAATGGGCAAAGCCATGGAGCACAGGTGCAGCTGAATAACGCTACTGAAGTTACTGAAAACAGCCACCTGTCACTCAAAGCCACTCAAGTTGCCACTTGGTCAAAACTAACTAGATAAGTGGGTGTAGACACAGACAGGAAAACACAAGCTTTTTGACTCATGGTGTTTGTTTGTGTGTCTGCTTTGCTGTCGCTGCGGGGGGATAAATTGGATTTGAGAGTATTGAATATTTGGTTTGCTGACCTGCTGAGTTTGAAGCAGCTGTCGGTGAAGTTTCTCCTGGTCGACCAGCTGCCTCCAGCTGCTCAGAGCCTTCAGTTTACAGAGCAGAGAAGTCAGCCGGCTGTTCTCCAGGTGCAACTCATGGACTTCTTCTTTCTAACAGAACAGGTAGGACACACCGGTACGTTTATGTATATGTAATTCATCAGTGTAGTCTGTTCTTGAATGAAATAATGCAGTGTTTTTGTTTTCCTCAACAAAGGATTGATACGCTACTGCACTTTACACATCTCTTTTATTTTCTAAGTCTAGATTCTGGCGCTATCTTCCTTCCTGTACCTTTAACTGCGTGACTGTGAGTCCATCATTGTCTTTGGTGCAGCCGTACGTCTTCTTGAGTTTAATAATTCTGTCCACTCCTTCGCCTCTTATTCTGTTCACCATCTCACTCACATCCTGCTCCATCTGCCGGTGGTACTCATCAAGCCTGGCCTGAGATTCAAACAAAGGATGATTAAAGGTCAAAAAGCGAGCATCTGAAACTTGGAAATTGGACAATTAATGCTGCTTAACTACAATTTAATACTAGAAACACTAGAAATCAGTCAGAGGTGCACAAACCTCTAAATTTGAAGATGAGTTTGGTTAAAAAAAAGGGGGGTTTCAACAAATAAATAGACATACGTTGGACAAAAGAATCAGGAAAAACAAATCTCACCTTTAGCTGGACGCAGGAGGAGAAGAGGTGTCGGACCAAAGGGTCATAGCGTTCTCTGAATCTGAGACTGAGTTTCTCCTCTAGATTTCTCTTCTCTTCTTCCAGGTGAGCAACCTGGGCCTGCAGCGCTGAGATCTCCAACATCATCCCACGACAAACAGCACCCACCTGTCGGACAGTAACACGGCACAGAAACACTGAGATCAAGTCAAACAAGTGCTGCTGAGGCTGGCAAGAATTCGGTGATACAGGAAGTTTTAGAGGTCGTAAAGTGTTGGATAAGGAGAATGCTGGGATCACCAAAGTCATTACAAAGTCTCTCACATCTGATTTAATGTGTTAATGTAACGTTTATTATTATTATTATTGCACATATTCTTTGTACTTTATTCTGTGAACTTTTGCACATTCATTCCTCTTTATTTTAAACGCTGTAAAGCTTTCTATTAGGCCTCTCATCTTTTTCAGTACTTTTTCTTTTTTCTTATATCTTTTTTCTTCCTATGATTACTGTTGAGCACCAAAATACAAAGGCAAGTTCACTATGTGAAAATCTAGTTCGCAATAAAACTGATTCTGATTTTAGTATTTTATTTCCCTGTTATATCATTAAAGCAGCTCTAGATTTCATGACATGCAATAATCAGGGTTCCTACGCGTCCTGTAAAACCTTGAAAACATGGACATTTAGAGACTAGTTTTCCAGTCAACCTGCAATTTAAAATTTTATTGTAGCTCCTCACTCATCTCGCCAAATTTTCTGTGGCAGAAGATAAATTCTACTTGATTTAAACTGTTACTTATGGGCTGTGGCTATAATGTTATGGTTAGGGGAAAACTGTTGTAAACTGTAATTTGCCAGAGAGCACAGCAGAAAGACCACCTACATGTTATCAACCTGAGAGATTTTAACATGAACCTTGCATTATTAAAAAAGAAATGAGCCTGACAGTAAATGATATGGCCCTTTGGGAGCTGTGCTGTATTGTCAATAAAAAATCCTGGAAAGGTCTTAAAAAAGGATTTTTTTTATAAAGAGTGGGAACAGAAAAACAGAAAAAAATAAATATATAAAAGCTACCTACAGTACATATAAAATATTTTTTTTATTGATGAGGCATTGTCCAAATACTGTTCAAGATTTCATGATAATACATCTAATATTTGGGGAGATCCAGACACTTTATGAGTTAGTTCCCTCTGGACTAACTGTTCAATTTCTCAAGTCCTACTGCTAAAAAATCTTAAAGTCCATTTGAATACTCTTCATTTCCCAGCTGCGTCTGTTGAGCTGGAAATCCCACATGAAATCCAAAAGATATGGATTTAAGTCACGTTATCTCACATGATTTTTCATATGACCCACAAAGTCATTTGTAATTGCAGTGTTTACCTCTTTGTGAGAGCTGCTGGACGGAGAGTCCTTAAGATTCTTAAAATCCTGCAGTTAAAAATAAAAAAGAGGATGAGCTCACAATAAAATCATACAAAATGTTATAATGTTACAATACACTCATGAAGCCATGAAGCTATAAAAATGTAATAATAATGCCCACGTGTACCTGCTCTCTCTGACGCAGGAGCTGAGTCTCCTGCTGCAGGATCTGTTCATAAAACTGAGAGTAAAGCAGGAAGCTCTGACGCTCTCGCTCCATCAGAGAACAGCCGAGGTGAGTGAGACACTGCTGGAGGTGATCCTGAGAGACCCTCAGCTGAAACAAGAGACACTCAGCAGGTTTATTACTCAGCATGGACGCACAGACACTAATGCTCTTTTTACTACCCTGATATCATAAGTCATCGTACAGGAGGCGGATCTAGAGAAATATTCATGAGGTGGCAAAAGGGCATGGAGACTTTAAGGGGTGGCAGAAATATATGCTGATTTAATCACAAATAATACATTTTTGCTTGGAAAAGCGTCAAAATGAAAATATTGAACTCAAGAACATGACATTATTGTGGCACACAGTAAAGCACTGAATGAAAATATATAAAGGTTACAGTTACAATCAATAAAGCAGATCAATTAGAGCATAACCCCCCTCTCTAATTCTGCCTGTCCTTCACCTGTCCTATCAAATAAAGGCATAAAAAGCCCCTAAAAAATACCTTGAATTTGACATGTCACCCCATGTACCTGTCCCTCAGCGTCTTCACTTCCCTCCATCAGCTGTTGGATGAACGTCTCCACAATATGCGGCCGCTCAGGAGACAAACTGTACTTCAGTGGGGCTTTCCTCCACAGCTCTGACCACACACAGAATATTTTCACTGTCATTTCAATTCTATACTTTTCTCTTTTTTATTAAAAGATAGATTTTGTGTATTTCTGGGCACCTGTAGGGAGGCCTGTGTCCTGTCGAGTTCGCTCTGAAACCACCAGGGTCAGCTCTCTGTTAATCTTCCTCTGCACCTCACTGATCATGTCACACTCGGTGCTCTCCAGCAGCTTGTGAAGCTGAGAGGGAGGCAATATATTTTACAAGGTACAGAAACACAAGATAGTAATGCGGTTAGTAGTCGTACTGTACCTGCCAGGCTTTCACGTCAACCTCGGAAGCTCCAGGCGGGGGCAGGAGAGACTGGCTGCCAGAAAGTAAGACCTCATAGTCCCGCTCTTTACCCATTTGTTGAGCCAGAGCTCTCATGCTGGGGTAAAAGATTTCATCTCTGTAAAGAGAGTACAGCCAATTTAAATATGGGCTCAAACTGTGTATTTTAAATCATTTCTTACCCACAATTTTGTTGTTTTTTAGTAGCTGTTCTGGAGCTTTAAATCATATCATATGATCTTTTCCCAGAGATTTCCCAGTTGACATTAAATTGCATTTGAAGTGTGCAAGCAATCAGCTAATGAAGAAATGTGATATGATTGAAAGCTTCAGAACAGCCACTTAATGGACCTCATGGTGAGATTGTTTTATCATGCACTGTTAAACTGTTTTGTAACAATATTCAGTACCTTTGACTATTTTCATTACAAAGTAAAGGAATAATGTTACACTGAAGCAGCCACTGCCACTGATTAATAAATGAAATAAGGAAGGTTTTTACAGTGTGTTATCTTGGTTGTGGATACAGTAACGCTGACTGGCTGATATTTATCGACAAAAGCTAAACAAACCTGTGTGAATGTAACACAATCCTCGCTGTCTCTGAACCACAGTACCTGTAGAGTTTCACAAACTGTTGATACAAACTGGGCGTTCTGAACATTTGAGCACCCAGACGTCTTCGGGCCCAGCTCTCCTTGAACACCTGCAGCTGCTTCGTCAGCAGGAGGAAACCTTTCAGCACAGACTGGACTCTGATCGGACCCTGAAGAGGAGCCGTGGAGTCACAAGTCTTTTCCTCTTCTTCAGCTCCAAAGCTGAGTTTATCCCCCTAAAACAAAGACAGAACATAGTGTGTGAGGCCTCTTTGATACATTAAAGGAATTAATTCACAGATCCAAGCTTTCTTTTTTGCCTGATTAGTGATCAATTGCCAACTTTTACCTCATTAGGTTTTCCATCGTGCAGAAGGTCATCTCTGTTGCCATGGAGACGAACAGGCTCTGCCTCTCTTCCACTGTTTAGGACGTCCTCCATGAGCAGCGACACGCCGAGGATCGCTGCGTTGGCCTGGAGTCGGCTGCGATCACTCAGACCGCTCAGGCACAGCTGCAGACAAACACAACCACTCTGAATGATCTGTTTATTTATATCTCCATAAAAATAGATAGTAAATTTTTCTTCTTTCTAATTCACCTTTTAATGGATGCAGCTCAACATTTAAAGTAACACATACAGTCATTTGAAGTGAAATCAATTTGAGAACCAAAATATTGTTGCCGTTAGCCTCGTCTGTAGTGGTTTAAAATGTAAAATTTGTCCTGAAGGTGATGTAAAAGAGAGATTACATGAGTTTGAATGTGCTCAGCAAGCCAATCAAGTAGATCAGTGTTTCTCAAATCGGTGTACATGTACCCCTAGGGGTACTTTGGAGTACTGCAGTGACATGACAACATTTTTTAAATGGTCATTGCAAACTCATGCATAATTCCTAAAATAATTATACTATAAGTTAAATGTAAATGCTACATAAACCACATTTTATACAAAATATTCTTACACAAAGCTATCTTTAACTGCCGTAAGACCTCTGAAAAAGAATTGTAGTTGCCACCGAGAATAAGGAAAGATCCTCAGTACGACACAAGCTCGTGTTTTTCATTAAATTTTAAGTGCCACACATCAAAAAGACGCAGTTCAGTGCAACTACAACGCTGTTTTAGTGTTATTGCATCCTGCAAAAAAATCGGTGTTCTTCTTAATGAATAAGACTGTGATAGTGCACCGCTGTATTGTAGCCTACATCTTTATATTGCCTTTTTTTTTCCTACCGAACATGTTTTGTACTTGGAGGGGGTACACGGGGGTAACCACTGTGTTAGATAATGAAATGTTAACAATTTCTCCTGAGGGGTTCATCATGTAGGGAGCATGATTATGTGTTCAAAGCAATCTGTGTGCTACAATTTGATATTGCGCACTGTCCCGATGATAGTGCTGGAGGGAGTCATTAGGTATCATCGTTTGGGAACTAAGAATACTTTCTTCAAATGTCATTACATGGCATGTGGTCTATGGAGAAATCTTACATTCCCACCCTTAGGCCACACCATTAAAAGGATGAAACATATTAGATGTTGAACCTGCATGCAGTGTTCGATGGGAGTGACGTCCCAAACATGCAAAGGGAACAACCCATGCCAGGCTATGAAACATCTCCATGGATACATCCTTTGTGCCTGCAGGGAAAAGACGACATGAGACAAATAAAAAATATAATAACATTTCCCTTTCATCTTGACATGTAGTATTACACTTGAAACTGATATGATATTTGTCCACTGGCGTCACGTAGCTGAACCAACCTGACATCCTCGTGTCTCTAGAGGTCGAGGAACAGGCAGCGTGAGACTGAACACGTCAGTCCGGTTACTGTCACTCAGCAGGGGGAGGGCAGTCGCCATGTTGTCACTCACAGTCTTGTAGGAGGCAACATCACCAGAGGAGAGGAACACCTCCCTGAACACAAGACAAACACGACAGAGAGGGTTTTTATTAAATCTTTGATAAAATTATTAGATACAGATCATCAAGAGATGACGTAGGGAGTGAGATGTGGAATGACAGGCAGCAATAACATGTCAGCAGGACACAACAACAGTATTACATTTTATGTAATATCATGTGTTTAAACTGACCAAACAACGATTTTATAATAGTTTTTACCACTAATTTGTCTCTACTAGGTCTTGTAGAAAGATCAGTCAGGTAATTGAAAGTTGCCTTAAGCAAGAAGAAATTGGGACAATATGAATTAACTGCTAAAGTGAAGGGCTAAATGCTGCATTCAGCACCTTCTGGACAGCACGGGAAAAACAAAAAAAAACAGGGAACGGCATTGCGTCTACTGTTATTGTACTGGTATTCTCTCCTGTCCTCACCTACTTTTACCATCCTGCTCTCATCCACTAACATGACTTCCAATTTGCTGTCTACCATCTGTTGGAATTCATGTAAATGCACCAATACTCCTTTTTAGTTTTACCAAAGATTGTTGTTAAGTGGCCTGACTGAAAAGAAAATATCTTTTTGTGAAGGATTAGTGGGGAAAATTTTAACTCCATGATGAAGAGTTTTTACTCCTCAGATTTACAGACCTGATGAGGTTTCTGACAGCAGTATCAAACTGCAGCAGGAGGACCTGCCTGCGCAGCTGCAGCAGACGGCCGACAGACTCTGGGCTGCTGGGATCAGACAGACGGTCGACCTGACGCTGGATCTCCAGCAGCTCTGCTCCTGTACACCACCCAGAGAGGACGACACATGCATGTAACGTGGTTACTGTGATTGATTGTCAACATACAGGTTTATATTGGTCTTTTATTAGATACTAAACAAGTTAAGATTCAACAGATGTTCTTAACTGACCATGAAAGCTGTCTGTAAAATATCTTGCTCATACATTTTGGCTTTGTTCACACTCCAGACACAACACAACCTTGTATGTTCCCTGTCAATTAATTATGTAACAGCTTCTTTGAATGTTTCCTAACTATAGAAACCTGCCTGAATCAGCTTGTTCCAACCCTTGACTGAGGCTATTTGAGGCTCACAAAGTAAAACATTCAAACCCAGGACAATATGACTGCTACATTACATCAAATGGAAATAGCCTACTGAAGCTGTTTTGTGCATCATTTTTATTATTTTTTTTACTATACGTGCTAACACTTACATATTATCAGGTGTTTTGTTTATGAGATCCACCTACCAATGCCTTCAGTGCCTCCCCAGTCAGCTGCTAGTGAGCTGGGTGCATCCTGTCCTCTCCTGCGGGAGTCTTCTGTGTTTCCCAGTCTGGAAAAACTAACCAGGTAATAAATGATGTCATGAAGAGCTGAAACTATCTGCAGAGTGTGATGGAGAGCTGTAGCACATTCCTGTTGAAACATCAGAGGAGCAAATTATTGACAAACACTAAAAAATAAATTCCACATTAGACCCTAAAAAGTGAAAAGTGAATTAAAGACACTCATGTAGTTTATAACTAATAATAAACACTGATCTACCAGCTCCCTGCAACACTTCATTCAACATTTCACTCACTCTTATCGTGTGTTGTGCTGCTGTATTAACAGTCTCAACGGTGTGTTTAAGCATCTCACCAAAACATCCAGTGTCTTGAACATGTGAAGCACTTGAGAGAAGTGGGGGACGAACCACAAGTTGAGGAGAGTTTTGCCGTCTGCAGACAACAGCTGCTGCGGCCGACACTGGGAGCTCCTATTAGGGAGGAAGGTTTGATCAGCCTCTCAGGTTTTTTATGCTTTTGACACACTGACTCAACATATATATACACACCATCTAACCACTCTTCACCCTTTTTCCACATTTAGAGTTATTTTGCATAACATAAATTCAATATATATTATGAACATGTGTGGAGTGTTATTGGGTTATTTTTTTTTTGATTTATGAGAGAAAAAGACAAATGGATCAGTGTCACAGAGTGACAAACTTATCACTTTATATAAAAACATTTGTCTTGTTACAGTATTAAAGTAAGGTAATATAGTCTTTATCTTATATAGTGCTTAACGTTTCATGTTATAACATGATTAATATATTCTCAACGTGATCAGTCTATAACAATAAACTTTTTATGTTATAATATGATATATTATAACTGATTCATCTTCATTTACTGGTATGGCAGCAATAGGCTTCCATAGGTTATATATGCATTTTTATAGTGTTTCTTCAAATAGGGAGTTCATCATAAGACTTTTTTCAAACATTTTAACCTGGAAACAATCTGATAGAAATGTTGTCTCTTTAAACATAATTTGTGATTTAGAGTCAGTATGCATGCGCAGTTCCTGCATGTGATTTGCATGCAATTATTCTTCTATTTTGCACATTAATAATACAGATAAGTTGGTTGTACCTGGGGTCAGGGCAACGGTCAGCTCCTGAATCCAGATTAACTCTGGGCTTTGCGGCTTGCCCAATCACGAAGTGCGACTGACAGATGGAGGGGTTGTCGTCCAAAATGAAGGATAGATGGTAGTAATATGCAACAATCTGCGCTCTCACACAGTACTGAGATATCTGTGTGGTGAATCTGTGGAAAAAACAGTTTGACACAGTATTTACCTCCAACATGCTCTCATGTAGAGTGAGAGAAAAACTCAGCAGGGCTATTGTCCTGTAACAAAAGGAATGCAGATGTTTTTGTGGACATACTTCTCGAGAAAGTCGATTATGAGCCTCCTTTTGATCTTCGCAGCCTCCTCCTGCGGTGTGAGAGAAATTAATTTTACTTCATGGGCAGCCAATTACATTTATCATCCTGCTCAGCCGTCTGAGAATTATCTACCACTGTGTCCAACTCACTGGAGTTTTCATAAGACCCCCCACGGCCTGTTTCTTCTTCATAAATGAATTCAGCATCTCGTCACGCAGGCCCACTTTTTCCAGCTGGATGGACACAAATGCTTCCATCAGCCTGGAGTAACAAACAAGATTCTGTTTAATAAAGAGCCGGCACAAAAGCCCTGTTAATCATCGCCAGTGTAATTGGTTCTTCAAGTGGGGAAAATTACCTCTCCTTGGTCGTGGTGGGAGTTCTTGCTGAACCTTTGGAGGGTGAAGAGTTAGATTTTTGCTGCAGCTTGTTGGTGTCGCTCCCACGTTTGGAGTCAAATTCTACATCTTCATTAGAATGAAAGGCTGCTTCCCTCTGAGAGTAAATTGGAAAACAGAACAGCTTTGTATTTTTGTTAAAAGCATGAATAGAACTTTTTAACTGGTTATAAAACAGTCTTAATTTAATACTGATGCCTCTATATGAAACAAACAAGACCTTCAGCAAGAAGATTGGCTATTTCTGTATACTTATTTTTAATGCCCGCCAGCTGGTCGGATTTGGTCAGATTCCCCTTGAAATCAATTAAACGAGCGGGTAGAAACACTTTTGTCAGAAGTATTACCAGCAAAATGTAACATATAAGTGTTGTAGCTGGTTGAGGGGGAGCTAGTGTGTCAATTAAATATGCAGTTAGGTATTTAAGTCTATTGGTTCATCTTTAAGTGTCACAGGCCAAAACAGGTTGGGAACCAAACAGTATATTTTATAAGCATATCATATCATCTGAACCTGAAAAGCACCTAAAAACTACAGCTGTCAAATACATTTAGTGGAGTAAAAAGTATTTATATGTGAGTCTGAGTATGTAAGTAAATGTACTTTCCTTTACTGAACAATACACACCTCAGCTGAAGATGTCTCACTCTCTGCCCAGTGACAAAGACAAACCAGTTTCACTGCACTTATCAAAGCGTTCTTCTGTGTAACCTGGCAGGCCAGAGTCACCTGGAGGTTTTCTACACTCTGTTTGTTCACAAGCTGGGAAGAGATAAGAAAAGGGATAAATTCAGTAGGCAAAAAATAGGCTGATTTTGGCTGATAAACCCCAGCATTTAATTTAATTCTAACACACATGAATAACTGCCTCCTCTGAGCTGAAGCTGAACTTCCCGATCTGGTTCTCGTCCAGTTCCCGGATGCTCAGAGGCAGGTGGGATGGGGTGAACCTGCAGCAGAGAGTGCACTTTAATTCCTTTTTCAAACATACTTCACTGCTCGTGTAGAAAAGCTGAAATAATAGAGCGCATGAGGAGAGACGGGGCTAAAAGGGGGAAACATGCATACAGTATTCCTGGATAAGAAGACAAATCCTATCTTTTATTAAAACATTTTACAGGTACAGGAACTGACTGATATAAGAGCTGTTAGATTATTAATAATTGATGTGTCAATACTGTCCAAATGGTACATGTACCTGTCCACAGAGCTGTCATCCTCCAGTATGGCTGTGATAAAAACAGGCCTCTGCTCTGCTTTGTCTTTCTGTTCAGCAACCTCAAACTGCACTGGCCTCAGATAGAGGTGGAAGTCATCGAAGCCGAGCTCCGACGCCACACTTCTGTACAACCTGTGAAGAATTATTCAGTGTTACAGTCTTTCACATTCTTGTCACATGTTCCGTGACTATTTACAAATAATTCTTGACATTTACGCTAGATGTTGGAAGATGTGGCTGATTTGAACCAATAATAGTAATTCATCATTGACCTCTGACCTCCCGCATAATTCACACTAATCTTTTAGTTTTTCTGACAAAATATTGATGCTCTATGGCCTCATCTTTAAGTTCAGGTTACAGAAATTACATGGAAGGAAACGGGAGAGGCTCTTTTTGTCTTTACTCAGAAAACTGATGAGAGTTCATGTTATTGCCGTCATTTAACACGTCAAATGTCTTTAACTTAATGTAAATTGTGGACAAAATGGAATTATTATACAATTATTATTATAATTAATCATTAGGAAGTAAACTTGTCCCCTGAGCAGCTCTTAATCTGATATGATGTTGGGAATAAACGGCAGATAAAATGACAAAAAGTAAAAAGCCTTTTGAAAAATGGCTTTTTATTCACATATCCATCATATACAGTCAGAGAATAGAAATTATTTTAAAAAAATAATTAAAACAGGATCTGACTGCCTAGCTGTTTATCTTTCAGTATACTTGTGTATACACATTCATAATCCCATATATCTCTCCAGTATTAACGGACATATTAATTAATGAATTAATTAATAATTATGGTTTAAGTACATATAATTAAACACCTGAAACCCCAGAGAAAATATTTAATATTTAATTATAATTTTCAAACTGCAACCAACAGGGGGCCCATAAAACACATATACATATATTTTAGATTTTGAGAAGTTTAAGATGCTATTAGGTTTTTTCTAGGATAAAATCTTTGATCTCATGATCTTCGAACCATAATTCACAGATCAGTTTGCGGCTACCCTTTTACTCCGTTGTGAGTGTTATCTTAACTGAGCCAGATGTGCCGTCTCTGAGGCCGACTCCAGCAGACGGTGGCGGATGGTGACGAGCTCCAACAGCTTGGAGAAAGTTTCCACAGCAAACAGTTGTTTCCCTCTTCCCTGTGTCACATCCTCCTCCTCTGCAGATCTTACCAAAGACAGCCCCACCTTTTGGACCAAAATCGGGTCTTCAAAAAACACATCTGAAAACAACTGGCAGTGGACAAAAGGAGGTTAGACTTATTTTTTTTATTTTGTTTTATGTGAATTGATTTAAAGAGAAACATAAGACAGAAAGACCTACATCCTTCTGTATCTGAGCGCTGTAGGAGGCTCCGGGTGAAGCCAGGCAGTTCCAGCTCTGCAGGGCCTGCTGCAGGAGCTTCTGTCGCAGGGTGAGTTTGTCTGTGATGCTTGTGGCTCGGTGCAGCTGACAGAGCTCTGTGTGAGCCTGAACTAAACTGTTATAGATTGCAGCAGCCAGGCAGAGGGACGGATGAACCTCCAGGAGGAAAATGTTCATCAACGCAGGGCTGCAAACACGACACAAGAAAGGTAAATATACTTTTGAGGATTCCAAAATCCTCCAGGGTAGTTAGACTTCTGTATTTACTTGCCTGCTGCCTCCAAGTGAGACCAGATGTTGGGGAACGTAGTTAGGTGGAAGGCCATAATTGTGAATGGAGCCTTTGCGGCTGTCTCTCCAGATGTGTCGGAGGTACTGCCGCTGTTTTTCAATCTGATGAGTCAACATCAAAGCTATAGATTACAGTAAAATAGCATAACATAACATAACAAGACAAAACTAAATAAAGTATATAAGTATCTTGAAATATAAACATTGTGGCTCAAAACTGGTTTAAATAAGATATTTATTTTCACACAACTTGCAACTCCTTGATGAATTGATTAATTTGATCAAAATAGTTCCAGATCATTTTTTGTTTGATTGTCTAATTGATCAATTAACTTGCTGAATCTCTAATTCAAACAAAGGTATTCATACATTTCCATTCTGCACATTCACATGTGAATACAATCCATTGCAGACTTTGTGTTTTCACCTGATTCTCCAAAATGTCTTTGATCAGCTGCCGGTGGCTTTGCAGGCAGCCTATCTCAGCTCTGTAGGCCTGAACAAAGTAATCCTGGTTCAGGTCCAGTTGTGGCCTACTGTGCATGATGTCAGTAATAACTTGAGCCAACGCAAACCTCTCCTCAGTCCCTGCTGCATGCTGGTAGGCCTCATAGTAACAGTTCAGGAGCTGGAGGACAAGGAGAAACCAACAGAGAATGCCATGAAAAGACCCATATACTTGACTGGCTTTGGAAAACGGGGAAATTAAACATTAAATATTCCAGATAAGAGCTCAGACAGTACAATTAACTGAAATCTGGCCCTATACAATTATAGAAGTGTTTTAAAGGCCACAATTTATTGATCTATCAGAAAAGACAGAAGTAACGTATCATATGAAGCAAGTACATAAATCAGAAGACAGCCAAAAAAGAAACGTGGAAAGCAAATCAACGCATTCATAGTCCTCAATTTGTGTCACTCTACCTGCACTTTGCTCTCCAGAAACTCTGTCTCACATGTCCACAAGTCAAGAAGCACTGCAACACGGTCGACCTCTGTCCCGGCCCAGGAGTGGACGTCTGCTCTCTCAGTTTTTCCCATTTTCTTCATCCTGTTCCTCTGGATGAAGAGTGAGCCGGCTAGAAGAAGCTCATTCTCCAGCTCCTCCAGGTCCTTCAGCGCAGCGTCGTACACGATGTAAAACCCTCTCTGGTCCTGAGTGTGGACGAACCGTTCCTCTGCGCTGTAGAAATCATGAAGGTTCTCCACCTCTGCAAACTCCATAAACTCTGAGCAATGGACCTGGAATAAAAAGACGTCATATACTGCATTCATGCGAACAGCAGAGATCATAAACACATGTATAGAACCAAAGACAAAGACAAACCAAGACATATAATACATAAAAGTTTGAATCTTCATACCAGAACACACGGTCTGTAAATTTACCTACTCAGACACAGAGTGATTGCATTACACCAAACAACCCCCAAGTGGGCTCAAGATTCATTTTCTTCATCCATAAAACCATGGAAATGGCAAAAATTGGATCTAATCAACCAACGCTGATTAGAAAAACAATGAAAATGAATACACATAAAATATAACCAGAAAAAAATATCGTAAAACTATTTTCAGTAATATAAACTGTTAGAAAGGGCATGATTAAAATCTAATGAAAGTTACACTGTTCAGAGGTTAAGGTGACCCGTTTTGTGTCATTTTCTATATTTAAGTAGAAGGTGAGTGATGTTCATACCTTCATGTGTTATTTCCATCATAGAAAATGTTTAGAAAGTTTAAATGGTTCACATTTGGATCCAACTTTTTATCTTAAAAACACACAGTGATAGAAAATCATGGGATAAATGTGCCAGATATTACGTCTGTCGACTAAATGCAGTAGCCCATGAATCATCTGCACCAGGACCTGGATCTGAATCCACACCTACTGTTTCTAAGAGAAAATCTTTTATCTAATTGTATAAAAAAATTATGGTTTTATAATCACATTTGTGTTTAATCCTGATTGAGTCATATTTTGTGTAACCTGTTTTATGCTCTTTTCCAAGACACTCCTGAAAAGAGATTTCTTAATGATGTTTTCCTGTTTCACTAAAGGTTATATTATATTATACAAAATGTAGCTCCTTTCACCAAATTTCCTCGAGATATTCTGATGAATAAGAAACAAGAGTGATTTCCGTGAGGTAAACAGGTCTACTCTGGGATAAAACTGCTGTTCAGCATACAAATCATATCTAGTGAATCTTTAGGAAAATAATGAAGCACAAGAAGTAGTATTGCTGTTCCTATGAATGCATAGCAGATAGACGCACCAGTAAAAGAACAGCTGCCATATACTTTATGTTCTTACCTTACAGTCAACAGGAGTGCTGTGGCTATACTGGAGCGAGCCGAGACCTCCTGCCTCCCCTCTCCCTCCCCTGGCAGCATTCATCCAGCCTGTTTCCTCCGCTGTGCTGCACAGCTCTCCTTCCTGCAGCTGCAGACCTGCCAGGTCAAAGGTCAAAGTCCTCTCCACAGAGCGCAGGTAGTTCAGCAGCCCAAGAGAGATGCGCTGCCGGACGGGAAAAAGTTAAGACAAATGTTCCCAACCAGATTGTTGTTGATTTCGAGACAACCATCATATTGTTCTGCCATGTGCCTCACCTGGAGCTGTCTGAGTTTGAGATGACGCAGGTGAATCAGAGACAGGTAAGCACCTCTGGTTACGATGGGATCTGAGGTTCCTTCCTCTAAACTATCATCCAGACCCAAGAGCTGCAGGCTGTCCTTGAAAGAGTAGCTGTATAGAGCGAGCAAAGAGTTCTCTTGTGTTTGTGTGTGTTGTTCAACAGAGAGACAACAAAGAACAAACTGCAGACCAGGATTATGGTTAGACAGCAAAGTTGCTCATTTAACTTATGATTTTTTGATTATCAAGTCTATAAAATATCAGAAAATAATGACAAATTCCAAACATATTTGCTTGGAATTGCTTATTTAGTCTAACTGACAAAAAAGATAAAACATACAATGATTTAAACAGACAAATGCTGAAAATATTCCCATTAGACAAACAAATACCAGCTAATGTTTGACATTTTCGTACGTCATTAAAAACACTAAAATCATTATGAAATTGTTTAATTTAATAATTTTTTGTCTCATTGTTTCAGTACGTCAGTAGACATCTTGAAAATAATATTCTCTGCTCAATACAAACCTTTCATTTGTTGCACTCGAGGTTTGACTCTTCAATCTCTTCTTATCGTGGCCTCCTTTGCTGCTAGATCTGGCTGACTGATCGTGTGTTTCCTAACAAGACAAATGTCACTTTTAATATAATATCTTCCATCAGGGGCAGCAGAGGGGAGCTGAGAGGTTTTTTTATATTTATTCCACCTCTCTAAGCAGAAAACTGGGTGACACATGCCTGAGTGAGAGAGGCGGCGCTGTAAATATTCGTCCAGATCTCGGAGACGTTTTGTCGTTTTGTCTTACTGCCGTGTGAGACTGAGGAGTTCGATCCAGTTTGTAAGTCGCCAACATGAGCAGCTTGTTCTTTTACAGTCGCAGTCACATGGAGCACATCGGGGACCTGATGAGGTGCACAGAAACAACAACTCACACCTGAAACTTCATGAGCAGGGGTTTATTTGCATGTGACAGATAACTTTTTAAAAAGACTCATCGATCCAGCAGTCTTAGAGATTAAAGGATAACTAGAGAGCAAGTTATCCCGTTTTTTTCCACTTGAAGGGAACCCTAGAGCAGTGGGTCCCAATCTGAAGGTCAGGACCCCCACTAGGGGTCGCCAAAACTTCACGGGGGGTTGCAAGGCCTTCTTGACTTTAAGGATAGTAAGAAAACTTAAAAAATATACACAGTAGGCCTATATCTTAGCATTTTGTTCATTTTCGTGAGGATAATAAATAAAATTCAAAGTTTAGATTATTATTTAAGATCTAAACTTTGAAGACCTGAACACAACCTATATTCACAGTCTCTGATACACAGCCTTGTCCTGCATTCGAAAAGTTAAAACAACAAGAGACCTAACAGAACAAAGAGAAGATTAATTCAGAGCAGACGTCGCTGTTACCTGAAGAAACCTGCTGTGCATCTTCAGCAGCTCATCAACAGATTTCTTTTCCCTGAGCTTTGTGACGAGCTTCTGCTGCCACGGATCCCGTTTGGGCTTCACCTACAGGACAGAATCCAAACTGTCAGTATCTACGGTCCCTCCCACCACACAAATAGAAGTCGTTCCAAATACTTGAACAATACATCAGGGCAATACTGACTACATTTGAAACACAGTACACTCCTGAACAAACCCCAAACCATCTGGCTTACAGACTTACAAAAACTCTTTGTGGAGACTATTTTACTGCAGTTAATTTACTCTAACCTGAATGAAGGGGATCCAGTTGGCCTCCTTCTTCAGAGCCAGGCTTGCACTCTTCCTCCCCCACTGGCTCTGTTTGACCTCTGCACCATCGTAGTGAGGAAACGTTTTCATATGCTCTTGATGTCCGAAAATCGCTCTGAACTCCCTCCACACCTGGTGAGACAGATTCAGATTGACACATCGTTAATAACATACATTGGACTGATGCCATTTAAGTGCACAGTCGTAAATATTGCAAGGCTTTTGTGTATAAGTTGTTTCAGTTATCCATTACCATGCTGAATAACTCCATCTCGTCTGCAGTGGTCCTGAGTTTTCGAGCGTCGTAGGACAGGTGGAAGTGAGAGATTAATGTCTGCAGCTCAGGTAGAAACTCCTCCAGGTTAACAGTGTGCAGGGGGACATCAGCAGCCATTCCTGTAGTTGAATGTATTCAGTGATAAACTATGAAATCTCCTCTCAACAGCCTGTGTGGATACATTTTACAGGAGTGCATAGTATTATAGCTACAGCTATCATTGAGTTGTTATTATTTTTTATTTTTTAAAGTATTATTTTTTTGGCCTTTATTTGACAGAGATAGCTGCAGAGAGACAGGAAAGGGGGGCAGAGAGAGAGGGGACGATATGCAGCAAAGGGCCGCAGGTCGGACTCGACTCGATCTTCCCCCAGATAGCCGGCATC